ACTGAACCTATTTTTATTTTTTAAAAAGAAAACGTTGCGCTACACTAGAATTTTCTCCTGTGTCGCTTACAAACATACAATTATACATACACATCACACCCAGACCCGAAACAACAATTTGTGGATCACACAAAGAGTTGTTCCGTGCAGGGATCGAACCCGGGACACGTTGCGGGGCAGCCAGTTGCTCAGCCACCGCGCCAACCGTGCAGTCTATTCATTATTATTTGTGTGTGGTACAGACATAGTTTGGAACTCCAGAAAGGGCGTAGAATTGTTTTTAAACCAAAAAATTTGCAGGAAGTGACTATTCTACGCAGGCAAAAGCATAAATAAATGCGGTATGAAAGGGACGCCGAAGTGATACCACGGCGTTACAGAAAACTAGCGTGAAACAACGCTAACGCTTTGTGTACGTTTCGCTGTACTTCCATTTTCCAGCGGCTCCTCCTGGTGGCATTGTATGTAGGTTCCTATTGAAAACAAATCATTTATTTGTACTGTAGAAAAGCCTTATAATTTGCCAGGGACCCTTGTAAGCTCTACACCAATGTAACATTACGGAATGCAAATACTGTGTGCTTGGTGCTTGCTCAACTGTAGCCGCTGCTTTAATAAAATAATATCGCAACGTTATCTATCATCTGTTATTAATTAGCCGTAAACCGAGAAAACTAAGCCAAGGCGCGGCGGCCGCGGACGCAGGCGGCGCGAGGGGAGGGGGGGGGAGCATGCGATATCGGTGAAACTATGACGAACAATGACGATGTTAACAAACACATCGATATTGGGTGTCAGCAGCGGCAGCGCCCGTTGCGGCACGAGCCCCGGCAGGGCAAGGCACTGAGGTGACCTGACGCCAGTAAGGTCGAGGGCGGCGCCCGGGGCTGGGGTGGCTCCTCCACAATGTTAATTGACGTGACATATGTCGCGGCTCGGCCTCGCGCGGCGACCTGCGACCTGCGCCCGCGCCGCCATTACGCCGCGCGCCGCCACTTGCGTGCGCACGCGACCCGCGACCTGTGACCCGCCGCCCGCCGCCCGCCGCCTGCGCATGCGCCGCCGCCTGCCTACTCGACGTCTTCATTCCTCGCCACACTCACATCGCTAATTGTTGCGCAGCCTCACTCAATGATTTACGATGTCGAATATATACAAAGTCCCAGGGGGTCATAAAATTACAATATTTGGTTAGGCAAGTAACGTTGCGCTGCGCGACACTCAGCAGCACAGTATCAGAAGTCCAGGTGAACATGATCTATCTGTCGTGGCGAGTACGGAGGCCACTTACCTTAGTCTTTTTTATACCATCGAAAGACCGCTCTACATGAGACGAGAGGGAGTGTCGGACTCGAGTAGTGACTAAATACAACCCAGTTCGTTGTGCTGCTCTGGGCCGGAGCGGTGGCACATTATTGCGTTTGCCCCCGCCACCCTGGCTGAACGTCAGCCCTATTAGGCCCCGTCTGTGATGATTTTATGACTCTTTAAGGCCGGAGGTGTTCTTCGCACGTATTACGTCCGTGTTTGGTTCTGGTCAGATGGCGAGTCACCCTTGCTAGCCGGCCGCAGGACCGCACTTACGGTGACCGCAGATTATCACGTGACTCCGACGCTCTGGTGGGCCAGACCGTCAGGGGGATACTTCCATCACGCGCTCTGCCTGTTTTCTTGCAAGTCTCACTGCACAGATAGAGGAGACGGCTTCTCTATTTACCCTCGCTCCACACCATGGCCTCGACTAAGGCTGGGCTCGAAAGGTCGCCATTTTGCTTACGTCTGGACTTAAAAGTGACCGTGACCTCTGATTTTCTTTCAGTGTTTCTATTCAGCGTAGTCAGTTATTAGTTCTCAGTAACTAAACTTAGAAAGTAAGTAAAGAAAAAAAGAAAAACATTTATTTTTGCGCACACATATAGAAACAAAAGTACCTACTCATATAAATCTGCAAAAGTCGCATTGTTACTGGACAGCTTCCGAATCTGCATCCTCACGCAAGTCCTACGATCGTTATTTGTATATAATCCAAACATAACCACAGCTGCGCTTGTATGCGCCCAGCAGCCGCGTGCCATCCGCAGCTTAACGTTGTTGGTTCCTACACACTACACGCACAGACCAGTACACGCTGCCTGCTCCTGCAGATAATAATATAGAGCTACTGAATCACCAGATACCTGTATGTTGCGCTCAGTGTCTGACAGAGAAATGTGTCCAATCTTTTCACTTGTGCTGTTCGATGGAAGCTCCTAGATATGACTTTTTAAATACCTCTTTAATTAGCTCTAGTGGTGCCTATCTTGCTGATTCTTGCTATAGAACATTTATTTGGATCTTATTATACGTACTCGTACGCGATACGCGGTAGGATACTTCGCTAGAGGCTGTACTGTAGTCGCTCAGTAAGGAGCGGGGAAAACCATGCAACGCCTCTGTGCCGCGGAAAACTTACAGCAGAGTGAGAGGCGGGACGGCGGGGGAGGGGAGGCGCGGGGAGGGAGGCTCTGGGCTGGCGCGGCGCCGGCGCCGGCCTCTGCGGCACTCGGTCGCGCGCGCCCGCTCCGATCACTCGCGTCCCCGGACTTCCCGCGCAGCAGTGCACCTCCCGTAAGTGTCTCCGACGCCGCCAGCCACCTGCAGCCGCTCGGTAACGTACCCGCATACACACACAAACACCACACTACACAGCCGGTTGCATAAGCGCAAAGTTTCCGCCTTGCTCCACTATGAAACAGAAAGTGTCCAAGACACGACTCTATTCCCGGTCAGACGTCCCAGCTCTGCGGCGAATTTGTCGCGGAACTGAATGTAGTGCAACATTGAAGTCCGTTGCCACACCGGGGCTGCGCCGGCGCAACCTCGCCGCTCGACATTGGGCGAGTTTCGACACAACTTCGATCTATCGCACTATCGAAACCGATTTCGCTAACATTGAGCGGCAGGCGCAGTCGCAGGCTCGCGCTATGTCGCGCGGCGGCGGGCGCGGACCGGCCGATGTAAACAAACAGAGCGGCGGCGTGACGTCACACGCGTGCGCGTCGCGCGGCTTCCTCGTACAAGTGGGTCACTCGACTCGTTATGTAAGCGTCGTTTGGTGTCCTAATGATTTCATGTCATCTTATCTAACATTATACTGCACCAACTAAACATATACAACTCGGAAAGAAAGTAGTACACCAGTCGCGGTCAAGGTCGTGACTCTACCGGATGACCCCGCTCCACGACCCTCCCCTCACCATCTCGCACCAACATCTATAAGATTCAACAGTTTACTGTTTTGTGTATAACATAATTGGCATCCATGAACTGTGCACTAGTTGCCCAACAAGTCGTTGTAGTTGCCCGCTTAGTTACACTAGCAGAATGTCGGTCCTTATGTCAGCTTGGAGTTGTCATGCTCACTTAAAGGTCATATTGGCGCTGGCACGGGCATCGCTCAGTTCCCTATATTATGGTTGAGTTGGGCGATACTGGTGCAGTGGTACTGGTGGTCAATTAGAACTGGTCAGCTCCGGACTGTCTATTGTCCTTAAGGTTATTTTCTTTTTATGTTTCTCTGTATATTAGCGTTATACTGTTCTCTCATATTCAAACCAACTAAATAATGTATCAAAGAATCTGTATGTGACACTGATTTAAAAAGAGTAACCATGGAGTTTCTTGCTTGTTTTTCTCGTTTGAAATCTACAGTTTGGAACGAGCAAATAGCTTCACTAAGAGGACTGCCCGACAGACTGACATGATCTTAAAATTTTGTTTGTCGTTCAAAAGTGCCTGTAAGGATCTAATTGAAATAATTTTTTTTTGACTTTTGACTTTTCTGCCCGCCTCCGTGTCTCGGCGCACTAATAATGTCTGGTCACCACTGTTTGATACTTTAGTCGGAACTGTTCGAGCGCCATGTTGTACCTGCTATACCTGCTAGCTTATATCTGTGACTTAATTAACAAATTGACTTTCAAGTATTCTATAAAACTTTCCAAAGAGAGCTTCTATTATTGTACACAGCTGATAAGGGCCTATTGCAGACTAAAAGCCTCTTCTCTCATGGAGAAGAAATGAGCATCAATCAATACTTTCAATAAGTCTAGGTTTCCTCGCGCTGTTTTCCTTAACTGTATTTCAGTAATGTCTAAATAATAAAATATTGTAAAGTGCATAAAACTCGGAAAAGTCACATCTGCCAGTGCTATCTGGCAGGCTCCGGAGCCACGCCCGCACCAGAACCGAGTGATTCAACGTTTTGTATGGTTCCGAAGACTAATTATTTAATATGCTGCATGCTGTATATAATCTATAATTAGGAGTATTGATGCCTCTTTCAATAAGGCCACATAGTGTATGTATATACGCCTGTGGCCCAAGAGCTGAGACCTACCTCCCGAGACACGAGCGCGGCATCCGCGCACTAGTTAACCTGGGGTCAGCCACAATGTTCTCATTTCGAATCAGTTGTCATTGCCACTAATTATGTATCGCACAATAAATGAAGTGGAAACGAGAACAAGGATATCGACCGCCGAACTGCCGCCGCCTCGCTCTGTCGTCACCTGCTTGACATTTGCCAGTCGTGAAGGTCACGGGGGTCACAGAGGTCACGGAGGTCGCGGCCACTGCACTCACCTGCGACTGCAGCGACCCCCTCCACAGCCCTTCGGAAGCGCAGGCACGTTGCAAGCAACGGAAGTGTAGCCGGGCGAGCGCGCCCTTGAACTCGCTCATCTCACGCTAGAGTCGCGCGTGCGCAATGTGCCACGCGCCACGTGGAGCATGTGCGCTGCAACCATGACTGCACCACCCAACATAATGATTCAATGATAGCGAGGACATTCTGCTGTCGGGTATTGTGACGCCGGCTCATGGCATATGAAAGCTGCAACTAATCGCCCTCCGCGTGGACTGCGATGTGGATGTGGCGCGACCCGCAAGTCAAATGTTGCGCAACTTGTCGTGGGAACTCACGACTGGCACACAGACAACTTTGCCCACAGCAGAGCCGGTCAGTTGCAATACGGAACACAGGTCGAAGTGATAGTAGAACAGAGAGGTCGCGGGGCCACATGATCGATGAGGCGGCGTTGCACCATCCCGGCAATAGGTCCACGCCAGCAGTTACATAAACTGGCCTGATATGTAATCAATACGGTGGTCTCAATGAAGTGAAGGCGAGAGTACGGCAGCGGGTGCACCTCATTGCAAAACTGCACGGCGCCCCCCCCCACCTCCCCCGCAGCTCGTGCCCCGGGTGGAGTGGGCGCAGCTGATGCAGCTATCCACGCACGTGTGTCGCGCCGACTACTGCGACGCTATGACGTGTGTCGTGTTTACTTTCACGCTCTGCTAACTGCTCAGCATTCTAACGATGTAAAGTAAACAGCCAGGTGAGTGCTAACTACCTGAGCACACAGTGCGACACGCACACATGCACACGTTTACAAGTAATTAAGATTCGCACCCGTCTTTGCATGCTTAACAAACTTGTCAAAAGTGTCCTGTCTGTCAGAGCTGTGCTGTGAGGCAAATTAATGGCATTAACACCAGTTAAAAGTATCAATTATAACATACAGTTTGGCGGTAGGATCGTTGAGCTCTATACATCGGCCTGACGGTGACGCGCAGTATGTGAGGCGCTGTGACGTCCGTAGTTCCGCTGCTTAGCAGAGTCACGCCGAGAGCCCACAGTTCAACATGTCATCTGATTTAGTCACGTTACAAAAACAGCAAGATGTTCGTCCAGTGCTGACATTGAGTATTTCCTTCGTGTCACCCTGCCTAGAATATACAGCTGCGTCCGTCACAAACAGTCTGGACTTCGAACCGGATCTATATAGTACAAGTTACGAAATGGAATGCAATCTCGAAGCATGACGGGCGTGAGCAGCAGTAGAGGCGGCGGTAACTCGATCAGCCGACCGTTGGTTATATCACCGACCGGTCGCCGCCGGCGCCGCTCCACCACTTGTTTTGCTCCCTGTTATCCAATTCGCTAGAGACCAATACAATCCATCTTAAAATCTTTCACTTAGATCAGTGATTGCGGAAACTCAGAGCGTCGCTCGCAGCCTCCGGTCAATATTGTGTGAACAGATACATGTTACATAATGTCAATAAATACGCCTCAAAACAATCAAAGTCGTTACACCAGCAGTCGTAATCAGAGCACGTAACATACATACGTGTGTGCGTGTGTACGTGTGTGCGCGTGCGCCACTCGTGACTCCGCGCGAGCCACAGCCTAGCAGTAGGCCCGGCGCGACATACTGATGGGTGTCGCGTATCACTCCCAACTCACTCATCTTCAGAGAACGTACCTCACTTCCGTCGTACAAACGCATTACTGACAACAACGCGACTATCGCCAAACTTCGATGGCAAGATGTCTTCTTCTCTATTGGAGCACCCGCTGTGGTCGACGTTCGGTCTTGCCGCTCATGATTTGATGCATTACTCAAATATGATTAGAAATAAACATGATTCAGTAATAGTCAGCAAGTTAAGCAACTGTATGTGTGCATGCTGTGGCTTGCGCGTGCGCCACTTTCGCTGGCGGAAGGAGGTCGCGCGCGCGCGCCGAAAGGCGAAAGGAAACGCACACAGATGCGACACTGTGCCAAACACAAACACACAGACACAGCTACAGCGTAAAGTTACGTGCGCGTGCGCCAGGCTTAGGCAGACTAGCGCACACAGCCACACAGGAACCGCACACGGGCGCGAGCCCTGCATGTGCATGTGTGCGTGCCACCACATTAACACTTAGACCTTTCGCGAAAGCTTACGTAAGCGCTGGCTAAGTCTGCGCAACATATCGGTTAACGAAATATTCTAATAAAAATGTTTAATTAAAGAGAACAACAGATAGAGTCGCGTCCGGCCGTGACCCGCGTGCAAGGCCGCGCCGTACTGCTGGCGCACACTCAGCTTTCTCAGTCCTTGTGCAACTGCTCAGCTTACTCTTTACATTTGGCAGGAAGTGAGTGCCGCTCATGTCCTGCCTACTACAGGACATGAGGTATCAATTTTTCACAAATCGATAGATTGGAAACCGGTTTTTATGATTACTTCCATGAACCCTACAAAATCGATTGCACTTATATATCATGTGATGCAACGTTAAGTCTAGCAAACAAAATAATAAACAGTGCCAAGGCTTTAAATACCTATTACACGTACCTGTGAATAGTTATGTATTATTTATTCCAATATTCATTAACACGCTTATACGAAGTTTTGATCACATTAAAATAAATAAGAGTGTATAGAGTGAATGCGAAAACATATTATGGCAATCATAGTGATTTAATTGGACAAAAATAACGCATTAATATTATCGTTGAGATTTCGTGGTCCTTGAATACAATTTAAAGTGGAGTCGTGACTAAAGCAGATAGAGCTATTCGACTTCATTTTTTGGTGTTAAGTATGTAGTTTTGGTAAAACAGCGTCGGTTATCAATGTATTTCCTGGTTGCCATAATATGTCATCCCTTAATGTATTGTAGACGACAATCTTAGTTTCTCATCACAGCTACACGCTGACTTATTGGATACGAATTTATCACATCCCTAATAATCAACATACCTAATTACAAATGTATATTTAGTCCCCAAATTAAAGCTGTTTATATGAACTAAAATATATTAAACTATTATCCTTATTATTGTAAAAATAATATTAAGACCAACAACGTTAGAGTAATAAAATAAAGAGAATAATATAATTTGTAGAAACCACAGAAGACATACTAAGTTAAGTATTTCTTCTCTATAATTATATAATCTACTTGCTTTTCATCAGCTGTATATACTATAAATACTCTACAAAGCAAGGCTATATTTACAGCGTTTTATATTGTACAAATAACAACGATTTGTAGCAAGTGCAACAACAGCAAAGAAACACGCGCGTTGATGTCTTTTATTGGACGAATTGAACGATAGGAAATAATAAATTGTTACCAATTATAATATAATTAAGGCCATTTTTTTGTTAAAAAAGCATCCTGTTCTCACTTCTGCTTCGATTCGGGGCCGTGGTGAATTACTGCACTTGCTCCCGCAACCTTCATCGGGCTCCAACTGTGGTGCTCGACCTGACCCGAACCTACTTGTGTGCATCATTTACATGCCTTCATGGTGGATCGCGGAAAGTGTACGTGTAGCCAGGCGGACCGCTCGACTGGGGCGTTGTTCGTCAGCAGCGTCAGTGCTGCCCTGGCAGCCAGCCTGGCGGAGGTTGCTGTGCGCTTGCCATGGACTAATCATGTTTTTATGAAAGTGGAATGTATCGGGCGTCGGTCGCCTCGTGAGAACGGGCGACACTTCACAACGTGCTGCGCAATCCGATCACTTCTTGTAACACTCTGGGCACAATGCGCATGCGCATACTTGCTGCACTCACGTTTTTCATCATGCCACTGTAGCGTGGGAACTTCAAGTTGTAGTAGCTAAGCGTGTGGGAAGCTGCGGACTCTCGCGGCGCCACCTGCGACTCCGCCGATACCATACCGTTGCTATGAGATAAAGCGAGTCAAAACAATTAAAAGTTTAATCAACATTATCACATGTTTTACTAACTTGTTGGCTAAATCAATTATTAGCTTAATGTTGCTTGCTGTGATTGCACGAAACATTTCTATATAATTGCGGTTCAAATTTATTTTGACAAAGGCGTCGTTCGTGTTCATGCACTCTCGTGTGACGTTCAGGAGGTGGAATATATTAAATGCTAACAACGTGTGCATCTAGTGGTGCGTTGTTTGTTGCTGTGTAACGAATTAAAGAAAAGAAAAGAAGCCATGCTTCGGCACGACAAATCTCTAATCCTCAACCAAACAGCAGATAATCCGTTTGCCTGTTTATCGACCTATAGCACAAACAAGTTCGGTATCTCGTGTTGCATGTTGCGGTCGCGGCGCCGTGTGTTGCCAATGCGAACGAGTGCAGCTTTTACCGGCGACCTCGGTACGCCGCTCACTGCTCACACTCACTAACCTTTCTGAAAATATGACAAACGTGCGTCACATTACTTTAACGGGACGTTAACATGCAACATTACGACGAGGTCGCGACAGCGCGCAAGTGTGCCTGGCACTCGGCAATACTTGTGAGGGCATCCAGCGCTAGTGCTTGTGAAACATACCGGCGCACGCGCACAACCGCTTGCCACACCGCGCCGCTCTTATTAATAAGCTAGATGAAGTATACGTACCACATGTACGTATACATATATTTATACAACATGTTCACGATACGAGAGACCTTCACATCTTATAACCACGAAATATACCACAATGTGAACACATTCCGTCATTAGTTTAGTATATTTAAACAAATACTAGAAAGCACTACAATTTCAAAAGAAATTACTATTTTCCAATTTTCGTTGTAAAATTTAACCTTACCTTTAAGTCAGACACAATATGTAAATCGTTGTGTTCCTATCGGTAGGTATATTGATTTGGACGAGCGCAACTCCCCTGACGTCTAGGTAAGCACCGACTAGGTTGTGGTGCACACAGACTTCTGATGCACTCCTGCCGTTGATTCCGCTCGGTTTGTGCGCTAATAACAAAAGCATTTGTGTTTCGCAGCCCTAAACCCGTCTGTCGGGCGATTTAAATCGGCTGACGTCTCTCCGGTTAAATGGCCATGTTAGTGTAATGAAAACTCGTAAATACGGCAAATGGCGCTCCCGTCGACACCAACATATCGTGATATTTTGCTGCTCGCTTTTATTATACTTGCGACCCTTATTATTTCGTGTCAGGTCAATTGGCGTAGCCCCATTTCATAAACAATTTCTTAGAATTAATATTATTTTTATTCGACTTATTGTTTAAACTTATTTTAAACCAGGCAGTATGCTACTTAGAACAAACTCGTTGTGACGAATTGTATAAAAAAACTCCACTAAAGTATAAATTGATTTAATGTGGCAAACAATGGGCGCGATGACGTCACGCGCAGCTGCCTTCCAGATAGTGGGCGTCATCGAAGGGCGCTCGAGGACGTCCACATTCGCCAGGTTTTGTGTTTTTCCTTATGCGTCAGCCGGTGACGGGCCGGTGAAAGGGTGTTGTGCAAACTGCAACCAGAGGCGCCCCTCCCGCACTCCAGCCACTGCTCATGAGACGTTATTCACTGTAGATGCTGGAAAACCTAATTTGAAACTCGTCCATAAGAATACATCCTAATTCGATCTCGGGCTCGGCGCGCTTGTGCTGAGCTCGGGGCGTCGAACGTGGCTCGCTTTGTGCAACTATTGCCGTTAATTATGTATACTATAGCTGTGGCAACTAATGCCAGTTGAGCAAAGCACCGACGCTATCGCCGGCGACTGGAAGTTGCCCTCACTGACGTCCGGCCGAGAGTTGCGCCACAGATACCCGAAACAGTCTCGCGCTAAGGTTAAAACAACAGCTACCAAGTAAGGTCATATTAAAATATATTTCCCGGTCGACGCACATTCACCAACATAAGGAAGTGCTCTGAGCACTCGGCGTTAACGTGTTTTCCACTAAAACGTTTAAATGGCACAGCTGAGTGTGTACAACACGTCGAGCGCACTTGTTGTAACAAGTTGTGACTTCCGCCAAGCGAAGGCCTCGCCTGCGGGAGCGGGCCCAGCACGCAGTCTCTGACCCCGCGCCGCGAGATGTCGCCCGTGTTGCGTCACGCGTCACGTAATGAGACGCGGTTAAAGATAATATACTCCGACAACAACATTACGAAAAAAGCAGCGAGCTATCAGATTGTCGCAACACTACCTCACGCAGATGCCGTAATAACATAACCAGCTATGGAAATATTTCAGCGCAGTGCGACTCACACTTAACCTCGTTTGTTGCGACGAAAACGCCCATATTGACTAGGCACGGGCTGCTAGCTGCCGGAGCCACGTGGTCGACTCGCACCGCCTGACTGCCGACTGCGGCTAAACCTACAGGAGCCGCCGTTGTACTAGGAGCATGCACGGTGACTACACGGAAGTGCGTCCAGTGACGGCGCGACATCGTTACGGTCGCCCAATGCTTCGGAGGCGCACAGAACAATCGTTACTTTCGCAAACATTACGTGCGGGACGCGGAACTAGCCAGTGAGCGCGCACAATGCCGGCATTACACACAATCTCTGTAATTGCAGTCATTACATGGGCCTAGAGTGCCCCGGCACTCTGGGGGAGGGCAGGCCCCCTCCTTCCAGTCCCTCCAGCATTACACCCTAGAAAAAAACAACTTGTCTCGTGCGACCAGAGTCGTCGTGTGCCTGACCACGCTGTTGTATCAACATTCGCGTGTGCTAGACACTGCCGTCGTGGGTATCACAGACTCTAC